TATAAAACATGGTTTAAAAGCAAGCGTTTTTAGTGATTAATTTGCCCTGAGGACTTGGGATGCATTCGCGGCCAGTACAGCTACCGGAAAAGTCTGTTAACGTGTCTGCAGATGGAGCGGAAATCCTCCAGGGACATCTCCATGAAGCTCTCCTGGAGGTACTCCAAAAGCCTTTGCAGAAGGTTTCTGGGCAGGGCAGTCTTATTCCGTCCTCTGTGGTAGGACACTTGACCACGCCATGCTAGTAGCAAGTAATCTGGTATCATTGCATGGCATGGCAGCGTATGGTCCCGGTGTTTGCTGGCATTCAAGCAACATCCGTTCTTTATCTCGCTGTGTTATCCTCAGGAGAGTGATATCGGTCATGGTAACCTGGTTGACCTCAGTGTTCACTTCAAATATTCGTAGATATTCCTGCCCACCTCTCCAATGCTAAGTCATCATGGTGTACACCATTGAAATAAATGAGACTATTCACAATGGTAAGCACCATGCTGACTACTGAGTGTCTGATTTTGCATCACTGAAAGCAATGGGACCATTGCCATTGGGTACAAAATCAGGCCCTAAAGTTACTAACAGGGCCCATTTATAAAGGATGATTTTAATACACCCATGTAGGGTATTTTTAATTGCATGCTTTCAAATTTCAGAGTTAAGTCTTTGACAACTAGAATCTGGTCTATTTTAAATAAATTCAGTAAGGACTTTTACAGATCTAATTAAAAAAATTATCCCTCTCCATCACTGCTCCAGCCATACCTACTTCCACCCTCACCACACATGAATCTTAAGTTGTGCAGAAATTTCTGTGGGTCCTCTGCAAAAGAAGCATTTAAAAAGAGGTATTGCACAGCTCTGATGTCACAATTGAGAGTTATAACCATCTCATGACCTCACACCCAAGTGTTACCTTACTTTCCAACAGGCAGTGTCAGTTATAACAAATGTGTGCCTGACAGGAAGGATGAAGAGTCTGATGGCACTTAGGCAGGGTACCAGCTGTTAAAGGTGTTATCACATTAGTGCTATCTATAACCCCGACTGAATATACCTACTAAATGAGTCCTTTATGGAGGAGGGGGAGGAATTAATATGTAAGTTGAAAGAAAATGAGAATTAGAATATTAGACAATTTGAACTTACTGTAAATGTCTTATAACTTAAGATTCTTTGAGTGCCTGTCCATATATATTCCACACCTGGTGCACATGTATCCCGTGTGCTCAGGATTGGAATCTTTTGGCCAGCAGTTTCTGTTGGAGACATGGATGCACCCTGAATGTCCTCATGCCAAGGGAATAAAGGATGGAGCAGGCCCAACTGCCCCCCAGTTCCTTCTTACTGCCATGGCTGAGAGACAGAACCCCAACAGTGTCTGCATCTCAGCACACTTTCTAAACCACTTATTGTAGATATTTGTAAATAGTGTTAAGATTAGGAGTTTTTAATGTGTAGTCAGTGTAGTTTTGGCCCATTAACATAATTGATATTTTTGGAGAGAAGTTATTTCTCCTGGTACTGGGACTTAGTCATGACTGAACCTAAGTCTTCCGGGTCCAAAAACTGTCCCTCCTGTCTGCTTAATGATGGTCATACAAGATGCCTTTTTTGCCTCAAGGACAGACACACCCCTGATAAATGTACCATTTCTAGGTTCCTTTCACAAAGGATCCAGAAGGTAAGAGAGGCTCACTTCAAACTTTTTCTCTTGGACCAGGCTTTGACCTTCCTCAGACCCAGGCAAGCAAGACCTCCCTGGACTAACTCAGTTTGAGTCTAGAAGTGCCCCGGTAAACCCCCGATCAACCTTAGCTCCTAAGCTCTGTTCTCTAAGATGGCCCTGACTATAGACTCTCACAGAGCTATGGGATCATCAGCTAAAACTTTAAAACTTCTGATAGAGGTAAGAAAGGAGCATCACTCCTTTAGAAAGCATTGGGACATATCCCAGTTAGTTGACCCAAGCATACAGAGAATGAAATCGCTTCTTCATTCGCAGTCTAAGGGGATTTCACAGCCCGAATAGGGTACTGCTGTAGCCCAAAGGAAGCATGGTACCCGACTCTTAGCATGTCTCATTGATCAAAACTTATTGCCTCTGGTACCAAGTCTGCGGTACCAAGTTTGCAGTACCAATGACTCATTCAACACCAGTTACTTTGGCACTAACCACTACAGCACAGTCAGCCCCCACACTGCTATTTGCAGTACCAGGGTGGCATGTATAGTGAAGAACTTGCTCAAAAAAGCAATGGATGTAAAGAAGATCCATTTGTGGCACTACTCAACTATAGAGCTATATTGTTGCAATGTGGAACTCCTCTACAACAGAAGTATAAATATTTGATTACCAGATATGGGACAAAAACAAAGTCTGACTAAGGAGACTGTGAAATTGAGAAAAAGACTGGAAAAGTACAATCAGACAAAATATTACAATAAAGGAGTAAGACATCTTCCACAGTTAAAAAACAAAGTCTCTGTGAGAATTTGGCAAGATGAGTGCTGGCCAGTCAAAGCTATAGTGATCAAAGAGGTGTCACCTCACCCATACTCACTGATCATAGATGAAGGCAAAATCTTACACAGGAATATGCTTGAGATACCTGACACCTTAGCCAAGATAAGAGAAGCGAGAGCAGATGCACAAGGTGAAAATATTTCACAAACTGCCCCCATTATTTCATGGGACTGAACAGTTTCTTACAAACAAGGACTTTTCTAAAGATGGGTTTCAGAGTAGCAGCCGTGTTAGTCTGTATCCGCAAAAAGAACAGGAGTACTTGTGGCACCTTAGAGACTAACAAATTTATTAGAGCATAAGCTTTCGTGGGCTACAACCCACTTCTTCGGACGCATATAGAGTGAAACATATATTGAGGAGATATATATACACACATACAGAGAGCATGAACAGGTGGGAGTTGTCTTACCAACTCTGAGAGGCCAATTAAGTAAGAGAAAAAAAACTTTTGAAGTGATAATCAAGATAGCTCAGTACAGACAGTTTGATAAGAAGTAAGTATTTTCACACTTGCTTCTTATCAAACTGTCTGTACTGAGCTATCTTGATTATCACTTCAAAAGTTGGCCTCTCAGAGTTGGTAAGACAACTCCCACCTGTTCATGCTCTCTGTATGTGTGTATATATATCTCCTCAATATATGTTTCACTCTAAGTACTCCTGTTCTTTTTCTAAAGATGGTTTGCAATACAGCATCCCAGGAAGACTGATCAAGACATGGTTGTGTTTAAGCAACTTGAAGGATTGTTGTCAGTTATCGTATTTATCATTTATAGTCTGTTTAATTTAATAATGTTTTAGTTAAATACAGAAAGATGGGATGTAGAATAAGTCCTCCAGGAAGTGCCTACACATCCCACTTCCTGTGCACTCTAGATGCAGTCCTTGGTTTCCAGTGTCGCACTGCTGGAGCAGGACAGGACTATCACAACCTGCAGCTCCATAGAATAGCAGAAAGTTTAGATACCTCACTTCTGTACATAGACTTTATCTTGAAACTGGTCAGCTCATCAGTAAGATACAGTAAGACAGTGGAGGAGATTGTAGGGGAGGTATAGGTTGTGATGAGGGATTGGCTATGGGCATGGGTTGTGGCAAGAGTGTGTGTGTCTGTAGGGAAAGATATAGGTTGTGGGTGTCTGGGTGTAGGAAGAGTAGGAGTTGGGTGTGTACATAGATATGTGTGTGTATATAGAAGAGGATGAGTTGTGAGTGTGTGTAGGGATGTGGTTTTGTGTAGAGAAGGATACAGGATGTAGCAAGAGGTCTGTGTGTGTAGGGGGGAGGATATGGAATCAGACAAAAGATGTCTGTTCAGAGAAGGATATGGATTGGAGTGGTAATGGGTATATAGAGGAGGGAGCAGTGTAGTGGGGGTGGGTGCATGAGGTGTGTGAGTAGAGGATAGGATAGAGATTTTGGTGGGGGATGGAGCGGATCTGTATGGTACAAGTTGTGGGATGTGCGTGTGTGAGGGGGAATACAGGTTGGGGTGGAGTGTGTGTGAAGGATGAGGGTTGTGGGAGAAGGGGAGGGTACAGCATGGGGTGGGGTAGGGTGTGGGTTGTGACAGGGAGGGATTGTGGTGGGGTTTGGGGAGCAGGGCAGGGGTTGTGGTGGTGGGGTGTGTAAGGGGAAAGGAGGTTGTGAGGTGGAGGAATGCATGGTACAGATCATGGTGTGAGGGATGGCGGCGGTGGTATATGGGTTGTGGTGGTGGGGTGTGTAGGGGGAAAGGAGGTTGTGAGGTGGAGGAATGCAGGGGTGGGGGTTTGGGATATGGGTTGTGGTGGGGTTTGGGGAGCAGGGCCGGGGTTGTGGTGGTGGGGGGAATGGGGTTGTGATGTAGAGGAGTGGGGGTAGGGGGATGACGGGTGGGCTATGGGTTGTGTGTGAGAGAGGGGAGGTGCGGGGGGGTGGGGCACAGGCTGGGAGGAGGGTGGTGGTGACGGTGGAGGAAAGCGGTGGGGGGGTGCGGGGGGAGGGGGAGGAGGGGGGGGCTATGGGTTGTGTGTGGGGGGGGGGGGGGGGGGGGGGGGGGGGCACAGGCTGGGAGGAGGGTGGTGGTGACGGTGTAGGAAAGCAGTGTGTGGTTGCGGCGGGAGGGGTTGGTGGGGTTCCCCGCCGCGGCCTGCGCTGTCTGAGCTCAAGATATCTCCCGTCACCCAGCAGCAGCAGCAGCTCCGCGGTCCCTGCTGAAGCCACAGGGGCTTCCCCACCCCAAGTGCTAGGGTGAAATCGTTGCAGTCGCCCTCGCTAAAGATGGCGGCGGCTGAAGCTCGGGTCTTGCCCTTGCTAAAGATGGCTGCAAGAGAGGTTGCAGCCCGCTTCCCCTCAGTAAAGAGGGCGATTGATAGGGAGTCACTCACGGCCACTCTATTGCCCACATTAAAGATGGCGCCCGAGAGCGCTCACGCTGCCCGGGAAGGGGTCAGCTCAGTGACGCAAATTTCACTACCGGGTGAACGCCAGCGGGCGCCATATTGTCTTGTTCGTGAAGACGAGGAGTAAGGGGGAGGAAGCGGCGGTGGCGGTGAAGGAGACGAAGCGGCGCCGCCTGTGACCGGCGGGGGGAGGAGAGGGAACATGTAAGTAACGGGGCGGGCAGCGCTCATCGCGGCGACCGGGGGGCTGAAGCGACTGGCATCCCCGCCCCGCCGAGCCGAGGGGGGAGGGGCTGGAGGGCGCTCGGCGCTGTTGTCCGAGCCGCTCGCTGTGTGAGGGGCTGGGTGGCCAGCGCGAGGCTTCTTCCGCCCCTGGGGAGAGATTTATGTTCTCGATGAGAGGAAGAGCATCTCCCGCCCCCGTGGCGGTTGGCACTTGCGCATGCGCTACGCGAGGGAGCTGGGGTACAATCGAGGTGACTGGAGAGAGTGGCCCCCGTTTCTCGCGGTGCGCATGCGCTGCTGTCCTAGGGGGTACCCAAGAGACTGATGGAGACTGGTCTCGGTACCCCATATTGCGCATGCGTAAGTGGTCAAGTCTAGCAGAATGGGTCCAATGGGTTGGAGCGCGCAGCCCACGCTGCTGTTCGAGCAGGAAGGGAAGCTCTTTGTTGAGGTCTCTGCCATGTGCCCGTGGTCCCAGTGGGTGTGGGAGACCTGCCTGTTGTGTCTAAGGCTGCCCAGCTTTTGGACTTTGCCTGCGACAATGCCATTAAACTTACTCTGAAACCCAGTTGAGCCATCCTGGGTGGAGGGTTACTAGGTTTGCATATACCCGACCTGCTTTGTGTTTAGGTCGCAGTGACGATTATGTAATTGGGGTAACTTAGGCAGTGCCTTGCTCAGGCACAAGAAAGCGAGTGACAAGAGGGATAGGTTCATGGGCCAGCTGATGGAGAAGTACAAACCTCTCTTTAAACTCAAAAAAGTAGGATTCTTCAGCTGTTTGCAGTGGTGATTCTGTGTGCTAGTGACCAGAGCAGTAATAGCTATGAGCCAGGTTTTTGCCGTAACGTCAGGATTCTGTAACTGTTAAATTACCACGATACTTCTTTTAAATACTTAATGTGAAATATATGTTGCATTGCACCAGCATGTGTGATGATCATTCCACTGGGGGACTCCTAAGGGGTAGCATTACCAATATTATCATTTACAAAATGCCTACACTTAGTTGAACAGCTCAGCAGAGATAGGACATTTCTAAACACCTCCTTAATCAGAGCTCAAGTTTTCAATCCTTACTCCTGTTAAGTGAGTAATACTTACACAAGCAGTTCCATGGAGTTCAATGGGACTGCTTGTATGAGTGTATATACTACTTTCTGTGAATAAGGGATTGGGCCCTTAATTATGTAGCTACTGTTCTACCTAAAGCTTTGACCTGCCTAACTTGGGGAAATTTAACTTCACAGCCTGTCATGTATTATTTCTTTTCTTCTGTTACTATCGTACCTGCCCTAAAACACACAATAAGAGCCTTCCTCTCAGGAGTGGGGGAGGCTAGCATATTCTTGCTTTAAAATGAATCCCCCAGATGAGAGAGTCTCAAGCAGGTTAGGCCTTTGGTTAGGCTCAGCAAATATTGTGGGGGCAGGTGCCTCCAGCTTCATTTTCCTTCCATGGCTGGCAAGCCAGGTATGGATTCATAAGGTTGCCATTGACAACAGGTTTGCAGTGGGTCTTTGGATGGGTTTTACGTGGCTAGAGAAATAAATATAATGGAACAGTCACCTTCCCTGATGCACAGACATTACTTATGTATCGTATGCCTCATCAGTGTGCTTGGTTTCTATAGAAAACAAATCCTTCAGGAAGGATGTTACAGTCTAATGTAGACTGATAGTACTATTCAGGCACACAATACATTGGATGATCAGTTGAAAAATCGAGTGCCAGCCCTGTTAGTTGGGGTGACTTGATTTCATTTCTTTGTGCACCCACCAGTTTTTTCATGAACGTTTTCTAAATTTAGTAGAATTTTGACCATGATTTAAAAAAAATAATTTTATTTCTCATGTAAATGTAAACAGTCCAGCAGCTGTTTCTGTATATGATATCAATGTAATCTTCTATATAAAGATAATTTAAAAATAGATTTGGTATATTTGTTACATTAGTCACAGATTTGTGAGATTATCTGATCCACAACCAGGTGAAGAAGAATAAAATATGGCAGGTTATGATGGCTTGGATGTAACTGTGCGCGTTTGTCTTTATCTCTCCAAACATTAGAAAGTGCACATAAGACACTGCAGTTGCCCATATTTTGCCTATTGTGCTTTTTAAAGTTATCTTTCTGGCTCAGTTCATTATTCAAGTATAAGTTTGAAATAACAGAAGACTAAAGTTTCATCCCTTTGGATTATTCTTTCAGTACAGGTTTTTTTATAACAATTTTTCAGTTAAATTTACCTCTGTTCAACCTGCTTCATTCCGGTGGGTAGTAATGTAAATGTTGCTCAGAATTCCTGATTCTTGAAGACTGTTACAGGTGCTAAACAAGCCACACATTACAATTTGTCCTTTATTTGTCCTTTATTTTGGATCGTTGGTACATATTTGGAAGGCCTGTATTCCATGCTTGGACAAAGGGACATTGGGAAGAATGGTTAAAGTAGACTTCAGATACTAAGACCGTATGCAGTTAGGCCTAACTGTAAGGGCCATAATGATAAGTAACTGAGATAAAAATGCATTGGGTTTTGCTCTGACTTCTTGCTAACAGAAGCTTTAGAAATAATTATATTCTGCAAGAAGTTGACATTTGAAACAAATATTTAAAAAAATGTTTATGATACTTCTGACTATCTTAGGTATAAGGCAGATACCACAGTAACTGAGCAATAAATAACTTCAGCAACTTAGAAATGCTACTCATGGTAACACTGAAGCCTTTGGTCAACTAAAAATGGGTTGGCTGAAGCAGAGTAACACCCAAGATAGTTATCTTAACTCAGTCCAAACTCACTTTGCAAAGTTTTCATATTAAAGGCCACCAAATACAGTAATATATTTAGTATCCTGCAAAAAAAAAAAAATGAAATAAGGGAAATTGGTGCTTTTACCTGTTGTTATCGGCCTGTATAGCATATTTGGGCACACATTACAAATCTACAAGAAAATATTTCATTGTAGGGACAAGGAGGGGGGCAAAAAGAACAAATGCATGTTTTCTGAAAGAATTGGGAAATGTATGTAAAGATTATTGTGACCCCTGTTCTTGGCTGTGGCTGACGAGTGCACATTGCTATTTGGGGGGATACGCATAGATATCTTTTAAGTAACCTTTGTGCTTCCCTCTGTCCTGCACTGGCTGTGTGCTGGGTCAGCCCCCACTGTAAATTATGCTAGTTGCCATTGTCTCCAAGAGTCTGTTATAGCTGTTGGGATCACTGGGCTTTAGGAAGGCCCTGGACATGCCATTACACCAGATCTACAGCAGGAGAAGGTCCTCCTACAAAATGTTGATTCTCTCATAGGTGTTTGCTTCAACATTAGGCCCTTTTTTGTGTGGGTGGCATGTCACAAGATAGCTCTACTAGAGGGGGAAATCTGGGCCAGTATTTTAAAGAATAACACACAGAAGCAGTATTACAGAGAATGTTACAAAACTATTTATATTATTCTGTGACATTGTATAACTGTTACATTGTCTGTAACAGGAAAATATATACAAGTAAAAAAAAAAAAAGGGTAATTGGAATTCATTAGGTACCTTTCTTTCAGGTAGTAATGTCTGTATAGCAAGAAAACTGAATTAGGTTCTCGTTCCCCCTTTGGTAAACAGATTTTTAATAGATTCCAGTCTTCTGGTCTGACATGGGGGAATAAGAAAACAATTCGTAGAGCTCTGATTAAGTGGTCTTTTGTTTATTCCTGGCATGCGAGAGCAAGGAAATGCAAAAGAGAGAGAGCTAATTTCACTGGTAGGTGAAACAGCCAGAAATGAAACTACCACAACTTTGTGTTTGAGTGTGTATTGATTTCCCCTTCCAGGTAGGCACATATGAATTTAACATTCTTTTCTGGACCTTTATATCCAGTTATGCCTTTTAAATTGTATTCATTTATGAGATCAGAGTCGTACCCTCTTCCCATTTGCTAAATGCCAAACTGACATGCCACTCTATTGGAGGGGAGATGTCTTGCTTAACATTTGAATCCAGCCAGCAAGAGAGATGTGCAGCTTCCTCAAGCTCCCAGATTCTGTTTGTACACTGAACTGTATTTTCCAGCATTTCTTTCCTTCTCAAAGGGGCTCCACCATCTCTTTGGAAGGGAAATATCTTTTAGAACCTCCCACAGCTCTTACTGACTCTGTGTTATAGTGAATTTTCATTAGTGAGAAGTGGATTTGGATTTGTCCAAGTGCTACCCAAAGGGGCTCTACCTCTGTGGTGTCGCCAGCATAGAAAAAGACAGGCAAAGCAAAGTCCCAACCATTTATCTTTTGTGTGGCAGTACTCCCACTAGGCACCATGCTTGCCTTAGCAATACAGTTTTTAATCAGCTCATCTAGTACTTTAATTTCAGAGGTGTCTTTCTTATATCTCTGTAACTTGGACTCCGTCTTCTACAGCCTCCGATCATTGCTGCCTGCATGTGTCAGTTCTTAATTTGAAGAAAAGGGTGTCAACTTTCAGATGGATGAAAGTGCCTAACACCCTGTCAGTTATTGTGTGGAGACACCCATCAATTCTCTGAGATCAATTTTTTAAATTTATTTTTGAGAGCACTAAATTGGTGATCCTGACAGGGAAAAATACAAGAATAGCATCTGTTATTTATTGCTTAGGAGTATGAGACAAAATAAATCTGCCTTCACATTCTAGTTATACCTTTCACCATGAAGTTTGGGTAGATGTGTCCTTTATAGTCTGTTATGGATAAAACAGATAACTTGGTTCCAATTAATTAATTACTAGCTTTGAATCTTAAAACCTTACAGCTTCACAGAATTACTAGGTCTTACAAAATGCTGGCACCAGTGATCCTCCCATGGCCAGCCATGCTGGCTTGAGAATCATAGTGTCCCAGTGGTGAATTTGTAAAGCAGCCACCCCACACAGAGGATCTGGACTGAAAGACTTCAGTTTTCTCTAATATATGATCCTCCTAAGAGAAAACTCTAGTCTTTTTCTGTCCAGATTGTCTGTGTGGGGTGGCTGCTTTACAAATTTGCAGCTGGAGTCCCCCTTTCCCAAACCTGGGGCTGTGAGCCAGGCTGGGGCGCAATTTCACAGCAGGGAGCCTTCCAGCAGTGAAATTGACATTCTTGTCAGTTTCATGGCTGCTATTATTTCACATTTCCTCTTTGGCTCCTACTGTCAGGTCTGGGCTCACCTGGCCGCCTCCCGATGATGTATTGGGGGCGGGAGAGGAGAACCTGGGCAGCGGCTGGGCTTGGGCTCTTCTCCCCCCCCCCCCCCCCCCCCACACAATCCCTCAGTGGGAGGAGGCGGCAGGGCTCTGGGCTGTCAGCCAGCAGGCAATGTAAGTAATGCAGGTCTACACCAGTGGTTCCCAAACTTTAACAACCTGTGAACCCCTTTCACTAAAATGTCAAGTCGAGTGAACCCACTCCTAAAAATTAATATTTCCAGGGATTTGCTCCTTTACCTGAGTATAAATTATAAAAGCAGTGATCTTGGAAATATAAAATTTGTTTTTATGACAAGCTTATTACACACTATCATTATTATTATTTATCATTACAGTATTTTTATTACATTATGAAAATGGCAACACTCTTCCAAGATCTCACTTTCGTAGCTTGTATCATTTTGAATAAGCCTCTTATAAGACAAGGCTCTTATGTTTCATCAAGGAGTATCAAATGTGAAACAGCATGAAGGCATTTAAGAAGCCAACTCAAAGAGTTCCTCCTACACAAGCATTCAGGTCTTGAGCAGTCCATCAAACAACGCACGTTACAACAAAGCTTAAACTTGTTCTTCATAGGAATTTTAAAAACAATACTAGCTGTCTATTTAATTTTAAAAACAGCAAAAAATATCCACCGCCCTTTCCATTTCCTATAAGGAGTCTTGAAGTTTAAATCTCCTCAGCGTGATAGTTACGCTTGCTTTGATCTGCTGAGCTCTTGGAAGACCAGGGGCTCTGGGCTGCTGGCCCCGAGTTGTCCCGGTCCCTAGGGACAGCTCTTTCTGCCATTAGGAAATTTTTTTCACGAGAATCCCCTGTAACTTTTCGTGAACCCCCAGGGGTTCACGAACCCCAGTTTGAGAACCACTGGTCTACACTGACCATGCATCGTCCTAACTACATTGACATAAACGCTATGCCTCTCACAGAGGTGAAGTGATTGGGTCGAGGTAGTAGGTGACTTACATTGGCGGGAGCACCATTCTAGTGTAGACACGTAATTAGGTCAACGTAAGCTGCCTTGTGTCAACCTAACTCTGTAGCGTAGACCAGACGTGAGACTGATGCCTCATATTGGAGGTTTGAGACCATCACCCTCCAAGAGTTAAAATCTTGTGAGATTATATTGTTAGTGAAGCAGAATTACAAGTTATGTAATTTTCTCTTTGGAGATACCATCATTGCAAAATTCTCATTTGGAGGAAAGGTTTCAAACCTCCAGTATGAGATTGGTCTCATGGTAGGAAGCAGAGACCCAAGAGTGAGAATCCTGTCAGAATATCTTCTTTAGAGAGGCAGAATTAAAAGTGAGTTAGTTTACCATCATGGGATGCAAAAGGGAGATTGGTTATGAAGTCTGGTTATTCTATATAAATCCAAAAATAAAGGGCATGTTTTCTTAATTCTACATTTTCTCTTATAAGTTCCTGTCACTGAATCTACTGCCTTGTGTACTTCACTGCACCACTCTTTTATAGAAATATTGGTACTTTTTAGTGTTGCAGTATCATTTTCTTGGCCATCAGAGGAGTGCATAAGCTATCTCTACTACTGACTGAGGTCTAAGGATTACTCAATAAAAACAAACTGTGTAAATGGAATAGTCCCTTCAATAGTAAGATTAAATAGTCTGTACATCCTCCTACACAACTGGGCTGCTGGGACTTATGTACCAAGGAGCCATTTGTGGTATTTTACAATTATGCTGTTTCTTTAAATTATTACAAAGACCTGCTAATGTTTTCAAGCAAGTTACCTGCTTATGTTTTCAAAGAATAAACCAAAGAGCAGGGCTTCTTTTGAAGTCCATTTCTAGCAGCATGGAGCATCCAGTTTTGACAGCTCATTTCAGTGTAAAATTGTTAATAACATTCTGGGATCTTAATCTTAATGTGTCGGCTTGAGGTACCCAGAAAAAATATTTGTTCATTCCCAATTAGGGATGTAACAGATAATTAGATCTTTTTGGTTGAGCATTAATCAGAATGCATTTTGAGTATTCATGTTGTCAGTTGCATGTCATTTATGTACATGACTCCTGAGTGCCATAGTGGGATGGCATTAATGTCTGTTTAGTATTCAGAGTCTAGTGGTGGACTATTAGTATTTAAAGCCTTGTCTATGTTAGGGAAGTATAGATTGGTGTAACTGCATTGATCAGTAGTTACACTAATACGTCCTTCCATTTGTTTGTCACGTGACATCCCTACAGCAGCCTGCGGTATTTGCTTTTGTGGAAGAGTAACAATGGGAGTATTGAAATATATATTTTAGCTTTTCTTACTGTAATATAGAAGCCAGAAATCAAGACAGCTGGCATCGTGTTCTTTGGAGTCTAGTGGTTGTCTACAGTTTCCGATGCTTTATAGTAGAATGCAAAAATATTTAGGAAGAAACTTGATTTATCTTCACAATTAAAAGATATGAAGATCACTGAAAAACCAAACTTAATTGTGTACAATTTCTTTATGTATGAAGGCAAGGTTTTTGTAAAGTTGCTTTAATTCATACCTGCAGTCTAATACAGACACTCTCTTAAGCCTAAGTCAGACCTTGCAAGATCATTTTAAATGCCAGGCTTGTGCCCTTGACATGTAACTTTTCCCATCTTTCTACTGATACAAAAACAAAGTGGGCTTCTTAGTTACAGATCAAGATGCTATTGACTTGTGCTCTGCCTTCGTGTTATTTGGTGTCAGTATGTCCTAAACTGGTGCTATTAAGTAGTATGGTACCTTAATGTAACAATGAAACTTCTTTGTTTTATCCTGCAACAAAAAGGTGGTGAAAGAAGTAAAATAAATTCATGCTGATAATTCCTCTGATAATCTCAAAATTGAACTGGTCTTGTTAAAAACCTACAAAGTTTGTTTCACAGCTTCCAAGAGGCTTGCATTTTCTTTTACCTGTGCCGTATTCATGGAATTACATACAACTCATTTTGGCCCCACTCCCACAAGCCGATCTATGTGGGTAGAGCCTGATGCCTGTGTGGAACCCCAGTAAAGTCTGTGCAGATCAGCTTCAAGGATCAGGGCCTTTCTTTGTCTCTTGATAACAGCATTGTTTGTAGGGTGTATAGAAAAATACCTTTCTCCACAAGATATGCTGTCTATATAATATTATCTGTTTTTTAAAGAACACACAAGTGCATCAGTTGGATAATATTGTTCTAGTTATAAAAATAACTCCTTAAATGTTAAGTGGTAATCTAATATTTACTTTATTTAAATTGCTGCCATATAACTTTATCTTAAGAAACTTATTACCACATCTTGCATATCATTTTGTAATTTATTAAATACTTTATGAAAATTTTAGTGAAAGAATATTAGTGTTTCAGAAGTCATACAATGTTGTTGAGTTTAAACAGTACACAGCTGTTTTTAATAACCTCTTTCAGTTGATGTTTTGAACAGTTAATTTTAGCTGGAGGAAAATGCTATTAAACCAATACTGCTTTGTCAACTTGGTTTTGCAGGAGTTAAATGTCTCTGTGCAATTGTGTAATAGGTTCAAGTATGTAAAGCTTCCTGAGTATCAGTTCAAATGTAAAACCATTTTTTTAATTAAATGTAGAATATATAAAGAATTAAAGATGTGGGATCAAGGTGGACAGCCTTGGCAGCAATGGCCTTTGAACCAGCAACAGTGGATGCAGTCCTTCCAGCATCAGCAAGATCCAAGTAAGTAAACAACAAGATTTGTGCTATCAAAATACAATTTAATTTATTTTTTGTAATCTGAATTTTAGTCCTTGGATTACAGCATGACTGTGGTTACTCCTTTCTTATACCAGCTATTGAGAAATTGTATTTTCTGATGCTCTTCTGGGCGCAATGATGCTTAGTGTCTCTTCTCTCTCCCCCCCCCCCCCCCCCGTCCTCCAATTGATTTTTTAATATGTACAGTACAAGTAAGTGAATTGATTTGTCTTGGGTTGATAAAGTATTGACAGACTATAATCTATTCCCAACAGTTAGTCTGCCTTATTCTTGATTTTTGTTGCCTTAGTGATTCTTGATGGCTCTTGGCCTTTCTTTTCAGAAACATTGGCTTTTGGCCAAGCTAAGTCATGAGAAACCTTGCAGTTGAGAATGCCTGCTGTACTAGGAAATGCCTGTCTGGTAAAGTGTGCATGCAGATGTGTTTAAAAATCACTTCAGTGAAATCTGGTTTTGTGTAGATGGATATATTATTTATTTTGGTTACAGTAATGTGAATGGTGTGCAAGATGCTTTTCAAACACGTAAGACGGTCCCTGCCCAACTAGAGTGTGCAGAATGCTGGCAGACACATATGTCTTTAGTTCTGTGTTTTTGTCTGTTGCATAAACTATCCCCAACTGCACTTCTACCTAGAGAATATTTGCTGACTTTATGATGTCTGATACTTATTATAACAGTATCTTTGTGAATTGATGGCTCTATGGTAATTCACCAGTGGTGTAACCCCAAGTAAGTTATTTCCCCCATATTCTTGTAAAGATAAATTGCATAACAGAGGTGAGGTAACATACAGTAGGGGAAAGATGGTCTTGAGGAAAATGCAGAGGACTAGTGACCCAGAGACCTGGAGTCTATTTAAATCTTTACCACAAGCAAGTCCCTTTTCAGATGTAAGACACTATATAATTTTTAAAATAACTCTTTTTAATGTTCTGCAGAACTAAAACTGATATAGATGAGAATTGTAGAAAAAGAGAGGTGCTCAAAATACATGTGGAGCCAAAAGGTTATTAGGACTAAACACAAGTTATGTCCTCCATAAATAATATATGAAATAAGAATAACACAACAGTATATGACAACAAATACATGAAAAATGGAAAATGTGCATTTAAACTAGATGATTAGCAAATGAAACTCTGTGCTCCTGTTTGTACACATCTGTACATAGATAACTTAAATCAGGAGTAATTAATGTATAGTCATTCACTTTGAAGTACATTGTACCTGTTGCCTACTGCTACAAAAAAGTAGCAAGTCCAATCTCAAAGCAGAACAGACAATAGTTAAGAAAACATTATGGGAGAATAGACAAGGTAAAAATGAGGAGTGACAGAGAAAAGGGAACAAAAAAGGAGTAGGAACTCAAAAGACCATTATAAGAAGATAAAAGATCATTTTAACACACACTACAAATGTGCTCTAACTATACATCTTCCTTAAACTTAACTTCACTAATATAGAATTTACAGAGTTTACACATTTTAAAATCTGAATTTGTATTCTTCACTCTCAACAAGAGTATAACTACCATCCATTCAAGTAATGATAGAAAAACTAAAACAGTATATATAGTATTCATTTAGAGAAACTGCACTGCAACAGTATGCACATACACGTTGACGTATTTGCAATCGGCAATAAAAATGTAATTAATTACATGCCATGAATCATCGGCAAGGTAGTTGTAGGTAAATAAAGTGATTCTTCTGTTAAGAGAATATATGTATATCTCACTAGTAGAATTGTATTTTGGAAGTTTAAATACTGAAATGGTAAAGTTTTTAAAATTTGTTTTAGGCCAGATTGACTGGGCTGCATTAGCTCAGGCATGGATTGCCCAACGGGAAGCCTCGGGGCAGCAGAGCGTGGTAGAACAACAAGGAATGATGCCAAATGGACAGGATATTTCCGGAATAGAGCCTGGTCCAAACAACCATGGTAATTTTCAGGGGGATCCCAACTTCAACAGAATGTGGCAGCCAGGTTTGTGTGTCTCTCTCTCGCTCTTCCCCCCCCCCCCACCCCTCCCATATTTTAATTATTTATTCGGTAATTTGGTGAATGTGTGAATATGTATTTATATTATCCTCTGTTTCTCTATTTTCTGTGTGTGTCACCCTCCCCATTGCATCATTCACTTACTTCTGACAACATGATGTCTACATTCAACAAATAGCTGGTTCAGGGATGGGAAAGAGTACAGTCATGAAGATTTTATAGCACAGTCTAGTCATCTGAAATTTTCATAGACACCAGTTAGTGTGTGTATATATATAATAGTCTTTGGGTTTTGTCTTTGAATTTTAATATAGAAAGTGTTTGGTTTGGTTTTCCCCCCGTGGGATTCAGTTACTTGTTTCACGTCTTATTCCCAGGTTGGTAGGAGCTGGAGCATTGAAGGGCACAATGTGCTCTTGAGGAAGAGAGCACCTATTGTCACTCTGTTGCAACCCTTTTAGCTGTTTTGGGCAATGTTTTTGACAGGTTATGGAATGAGTTCTGTCCAGCACTTAGCTGGTGGGATGCTTGCTGTGGTGTCCTTTCAAGGCACAACAGCTTGGAGATCAGAAAGGGCAGAGGTCTGCTTGTGAAATACACTTTTATTGTATGTGTCTTCCTTTTTGAGGTGATCTGCTCTCCCCAGGTCTTGCCCTACCCATTATATGCACCGCACATGGGATGCCTATAGTTAAGATTAACTGAACATTTACAATAAAATGGGTCACTTTCAGTTAATTACAACTTTCTCAAATATTTAGTTTTTGGCTGAAATGTATATTTCTTTTCCTATCAAGGAAAATGTTTGTCCTGATAGTTTCATTAAAAAAAAAAAAAAATAGAGCTGATTTCAAGAACAGAAGGAGTAGAAGAATTGCAGTTTTATTTCCAAGAATTATTTTGCAAACATTTTCTTTTGCAATTTTAAAAAAACAGATCTAGCACATCTGCAGAATGTATTGGCGATTTGAAATTTGGCAGGAATGCAGTTTCTAAGTCTGTAGATGGTTTTTTATTGGTCTAGTGAAAATTGCATTTGATTTTATAGCTACAAGGGAGGGTAAAAAAACCCAAAATCTGCACATGTGCACTGAATTATGTTTAAAACGTTAAAACAATGATTTCTCAAAGTTCTGTTGGCACTTTGGCAAATGTGCCTATGTGAACTGAATGGAAATTTTCATTTAGACTATCTCAGACAATCACTTGTGGTACATATACATGTTTAACAAAGTGGAGTAGAATGTCAGGTTTGAAAGGTAGAAGTTATGTGGTGTATAGTGTCCCAATTCAGTGACTTAACCACATTCTTCTTCCTCTTTCACTAAAGATCCAGGGCAGTCATGGCTCCAGTATGCCGCTCTGCAGAGAATCTGAGCAGTGCTGCTTTCCACAGGGAAGCTGCAATAAGTAGGGCAGCCCTCAGGGCTGTCTAAATTACCCCTTGAGTAGCCCCCAGGTTCAAAGGTGTCTTAAGGGCACCTTAGTCCTTCCACTCCTGGTCTTCAAGTTCTGTGCTGCCACCTCTAAGATATGCAGTACTGAATATTGCCTTTAATGTTTGCAAGGTTTAAGGGTTTTTGTTTTTGTTTTTTTGGTAGTTTTGTTCTGACTAACTTTCTGCATTGTAATGTAAACATAGAGAACTTGACATAGAAATGTTGAATCATTATTGAGTGGCTATGTTTCTAGTGGGGTTCTGGGTGATTTTATGCCATTTAATATTTTTATCAGTGACCTGGAAAAAACAAAATCATTATTAATCAGGTTTGCACAATATACAAAGATTGGAGGAATGGTAAATAATTGTTCTGTTAGTGCCTTGTCCTCTTAATCTGACTCAGTGAGTAAGATGGATGCAAGCAATATGCATTTCACTACAGCCAAATGTAAAGTCATGCTTCTAGGAACAAAGAATATAGGCCATAGTGACAGGATGAGGGACTTCTGTATTTGGTACTGGCCTTACTTCTGTATTTGGTATTGTTCTAACAACTATTGATATACTATGTCCAGTTCTGGCGTTCATACTTCAAGAAGGATGTTTCAAAATTGGAGAAGGTTCAGAGAAGAGCCATGAGAATGATTAAAGGATTTGAAAGCCCTGCCATAGAGCGATAGACTCAAGGAGCTCCATCTGTTTAACTTATCAAAGAGTAGGTGGAGGGGGTGACTTGATCACCATCTATAAGTATCTACACGGGGAACAGAAATTTGATATTAGAGGGCTCTTTAGTTTAGCAGACAAAGGCATAACTTGATCCTATGGCTAGAAGTTGAAACTAGACAAATTCAGACTAGGAATAATTTACCCAAGATTGTGGTGGATTCTCCATTGCTGGAGATTTTTAAATAGAGATTGGATGTCTTTCTAAAAGATATATGCTATAATTCAACCACGTTTTTTGGATTTGAAGCAGGAATTAGGTGGTTATAATGGCTCCTTCTAACCCTAATCTATGACTATATATCAGTTTATACCTACCTGACTCCTTATCAGACAAAAGCTGAATGTCTTGTTTTTTGGCACTTCATGAGATTGATAGCTTACGAACATTTATTATTTGTCTAAGTCTCATTGTTAACTTCATACTGAATTTTATTCTAAATCTTGAACAGAATGGGGAATGCCTCACCAACCTCCACATCCACCTCCAGATCAACAGTGGATGCCTCCAGCCCCTGGTCCAATGGAAATTGTTCCTCCATCTGAAGACAGCAACAGTCAGGATAGTGGGGAATTTGCCCCTGACAACAGGCATATATTTAACCAGAACAATCACAACTTTGGGGGACCACCCGATAACTTTGCAATGGGGCCAGTGAACCAGTTTGACTATCAGGTGAAACATATTTGTTGCTTTAATATTGTAGACGTACAGAGTCCCTTCTGTGGAAGTGTTCCTCTAAGAATATCTAGCGGCGACTGTCACTCTTCAGTTCTACAAACAAGAAGTCTGTTAGCTGCTAAATCTTAGCAGCCAAGATACATTTTAACACAATGCAAAATACCTTATGCATACAGAAGAAGACTTTAGAGTTTTCAGTTCTGAGGCCAAACAAGATTTTTTCCGTACAAAGAATGAGAAGTGGTTATGTGCAAGATTAAAATGACTCAATGTTTTCCAGTATATAATTAACATGACAAAGTTGTGTAAAAGAAAGGAGCATTAAATAAAGTTAAGAAAATAATATACCTAAATATACTAGAGAATGTACTATAGGGCAGCGGTTCTCAACTGGGGATCCGTGAGCCCTTTCAGGGGATCCGCGGAGCCCCATGGCTGAAACCCAGTGCCCCGAGCCCAGCGCTGAAGCTGGGAGCGGCGCAGGGCTGAAGTTGGCGGCCACCCCGCCCCAGGGTGGAGTAACGCGGGGCTGAAGCTAGCGCACGCTCTCCCGCCCCCTCAAGCTCCTGAAGCCAGGAGCGGTGTGGGGCTGAAGCCGGCAAACCTCCTCCCTCTCCCCCCCCCCCCCCCCCCCGAAGCTGGGAGCTGCACTGGAATCACCCACCCGCCCATACATAGCCCCTAGCTACCTCCTGCCTGCACCCTAAGCTACTCCCCTGCTTGCACACATCCCCTAGCTATCCCCTCCCTGCACCCTGAGCGGTTTTCAACCTTTTTGAACTGAGTCCCCTCCCCCTTTGAGTTATATATTTTGGTTGCATCCCCACACAGCCCAGGCAGGCTGGGTGGCCGCCTGAGTGAGTCGGGGGGTGGAGGTGGCACTCCCTTCCTGGACCCCGATGTATGGAGCTGGTTCAAGCCCCGCCAGCTCTTGCCCTCCACTCCCCCACCCCCCAATAGAAGTAAAACTATGCCTATGCCTAAGGGTCCCTCCTGGTCCAGAGCCCCAAGTTCCCCCCGCTGGGCCCTGGTGTGTTTATAGCATGTTGAGGGGGGCCTCAGCAAGAAAAAGTTTGAGAACCCCTGCTGTAGGGAATAGCCCTGCATTTGCAGGGAGATAGACTGGAGGATCCAATTGATCTTTTCCATGTCTATCTTCTGTGAGTCTATGAATAAACAATTATTTAAAAAAAAATTCACATCCAATTTTTTTCTTTACTCTTGCAAACACGTTATGTGCAGTGTATATAAAGAATAGATTTTTTTTAAGTATTACAGTGAGGGATATTGTCCAAGTCTATATCCAAAGAATTTACTCTAGATTCCCCCCCCCCCCAATTTTCAATGGTATTGTATGCTCAAACCTGTTACAATAAATTATAAACACCCATTACCTTTTGGAACATCTACCTCATATTCACAGACAATAGAAATCTGTGGGGAAGACTGACAAAAGGTATAGGAATTTATTTCTATTTTCTATCCTAATTTCTCTACTCTTAAATTTTAGTGTCTGGCATCATTGTTAGATGTGAGATGAGCCATCCATTTTCAAATACTTCAGGCTATAAAAGTCTTCTGTCTGCTATTACTGGACAAAGTTTTATAGACAACTTCTCAGAATCCTGTAAAAATGGTACTGAAAGTCCACTTTGTAGCAGATGATGCAGTAAATGCTACTATCTTTAAAATTATATTGAAAGTACTAAATGTCTGTTATTTGAATAACCAAAAGAATATAATAAAACATTGATTTAAAAAGAGAGGAAAAAAATCAGATTTTTTTAATTTAAATTTAAAACATTTTTCTTTTTTAAAATAAACCTATTTCAAATTAAGACAACCTGTGTTAAATCCTGAACTGCTTGTAAATATTAAACAGAACATGTTTTCTGCCAAAATCTTAAAGAAAATCACATACTGAGCTGGCGGAAGTCACTGGCTAAGCACCTGGAACCAGAGTTTGTTGAAGTACTAAGCCAGCTTTTGATAGTAGTAGCAGATATTTTCTTCATTTCAGATTATTCAGATAGTTCAATGACTAGTTCATTCAAAGTTTAAAAAGTTGATTGGAGTTGAAAAAGAAGAAAAGTTTGTTTTCCTCTTCCAGTCTGTGAATAAAAACTCCGTGTGAGAGAATGAGATCTACTAGTTCTAAAATCTTGAAGGACATGGTAACCCGAAACAATCAGTTCAATTTATTAACTACAGATAACTCTTATTATTTTTATTTATTTGTATTGTTGTAGTGCCTAGTAGGACTAGTCATGGACAGAATATAGTACTTTTCTTAATAATCAGTTTTAAATGCAAAACATGTTTTGATGAACTTGTTTTTATGTATCCAGCACATTTAAGGGAGTTTTAGTTAACTAATAAAAAAAATTAAAATGCTGTTCTTGTGCATTTTTAATTGAATTGCAGTTTGCATGCAATTAGAGCTTGACACAAATCACACATAAAAATGAACCTAGTAAATAAGAAACGTATCATCCATATAATAGGTACCATTTCAGACATAATAAAAAATGTAAAAAATTAAGCTATATAATTGCTTAAATAAATGTGCATAGATATACTGTGTCCCCTGGTTAACAAAAAGTAGTATCAAATTTAGTGTAAAGGGTATATGTAGTTGCAAATCAGCATGTTTTAATGGTTACCAACCAATGAGAATCAAGCTTTTTTAAAAGAAAATAACTAAGAAGTACAAATGCAAAACAAGATTAAAATAATCCATTTTAATCAAGGTCCTGCTTGTTTAAATCATGGTGAAAATTGGCAATTTAATGATTTTGACTTAAATCACCCAGTCATAAAATATTTGATGCTTGCAACCTTATATCTATATGCCATCCTTTTAAATGGTTTCAATGGCTATTTCTAGGAACCAACTATAACATGCACTCATCTGTGCCACAGCTTTGCAACTCTGACTTGCATGGCAACTTGGTAGGAATGCAAGAACTATACCAAACTTGCATATAAATATATGCATTATTTTGATCAGCCATAATATATCTTTTTATTTGTAACATCCTCAATAGATGAGTGGAGATTGCAGGTGAAGTCCAGCAACAAGCAACAAAAAGTTGGAGCTTTTCACCTTTGTCCTCAAGTTGTAGTTATAGGGAGAGAGTGATTCATGTCAACACTTCAGGACTCTGCGTGCTACTTTGGCCCTCAGGCTGCACTTTGTGCACCCCAGCTTTAACTGAGTATGCTGATGGTAGTTGATAGTGAATTGGTTAATATTGACAGCAGCTAGATGGGTATCAGACTTCAGTTTTGAGAGGTTGTGAAAAGGGGTTGTCTGCAGCCCATTCATAGATTCATTATGGTGTCTATGCATTGGTTTACATTCTAAAAACTATTTTCAAAACCAGAAGTTCTTAAATAAATAATAGTGACTTTTTAAATAAAAATGACACTTTAGATTTTGGGGACCACAGTAAAACAGGAAGAAAGACCATACCTAGGTAGAAAAATCCATGATTTCAATTTGCCTGGATTTCTGTTGTTTCACTTACATACACATGTGCGTGCACACATGCTATGTGGAGCCCAAGGAATAAGTTTAGAGTGCATTGTATTAAATGTGAAGAAAAATGAACTGCATTACTCTTTCAGCATGGGGCGGCTTTTGGTCCACCCCAAGGTGGATTTCATCCACCTTACTGGCAGCCAGGACCACCAGGGCCACCAGGTCCCCCAGCACCTTCAGCGCCTCCCCAGAACCGAAGGGAAAGGCCCTCGTTCAGAGACCGTCAACGTTCACCCATCGCGATGCCTGTGAAGCAGGAGCCTCCACAGATTGGTACATGTTAACCACACTTTAATGAAAAAAACCCCAAACCATGATTTCAGAGATGGTTTTCATTGTAAAAAGAAATGTAACATTTGAAATCTGTAATTACAACTTAATAATAGCAACAACAAAAAATTCTAATTGGGTGAGAAAGATGTATCTCTTTATTTTTTTTCCTTCTGACAAAACTATAAATCTCTGGCATGCAGATGCTGTGAAACGTAGAACCCTTCCTGCTTGGATTCGTGAGGGTCTGGAAAAGATGGAACGAGAAAAGCAGAAAAAGCTGGAAAAAGAGAGAATGGAACAGCAACGTTCTCAGATGTCTAAAAAAGAAAAGAAAGCAAGTGAGGAAGCTGAAGAAGGAGATGGTCCACGGTTACCTCAGAAAAGTAAATTTGTAAGTAGAAGCATTCACTTTTGATCTAGATATCTATTTTCCTGAAAGATCTTAACATTTCTCTCTCTAACCTGAAAAATAGTTTCTCTTTATCTACAACACTTATTTGTTACTCATGTTAAAAATTAAGTTTGTGTTAACTGCAGTGCCACTTACCTGACCTTTGTAAATTCTTGCTAGATAATGGGCAAAAATTTAAGCATAGCTTAAAGAATATTTATTTTTACTTGGTTTGTAATAGCAAAGAGGCAGTGATAAAATTGGCCCTTATTTTCTGTTTACATAAATTGGTAATTGGCATAGACTAGGAGGGGAGGTGTCTATGGTAAAGAATTGAACTGTTTGTACTTGGACTAGTTTGAGTACAAATGTACCAGTGCATCGATGCTTGCCAAAATGAACCAATTTAGAGAGTCTTATGCTGTAGCCTTGTGTCTGTGGTAGTTCTTCCTAAATGATTTGCAGTGCTGGATACCTATCCTACAGTGACCAGACCACTGCATAGGTGGCCTTTCTGGACACAGAGGGGTCAGGTGAGCAGTCGAGAGCCGTTAGTTTTTCTCCTTGGGCAGCTGCCTTGCCTGACGAATATCCTAGGTTCTTGGGTGAGGGTCCTTTCTCTGGATCCCGTAGTCAGATTCCTCCAATCCATGCATAAATCCCATTCACTTGGGAAAAAGTGTCTACGTTGATCCCCTCACATTATATCCTCCACACCCTGCCTCAAAGAACAGCTTTGCGTGTCCTAACCAAAAAGACCCACCATGGCTTGTCCTCTGAAAATACTGATTTGACAGTCCATCTGAGGATTACCAAACCTGCATTGCATTGCAGCTGGTGATTTATGGTTGGATTTCTGGCTCCAAGGGCTTGCAGAGTGGGAAGGGGGATCACTTACTTGTTTGGAGGGCTGTTTTGCTTCATTCTGAAGTGCTGTATTTCAATTTCTGTTGAGAACCATAAATAGAAACTTCCTTGTTTTAATTATGAATTAGTCCTAAAGTATCCAATGTTCTTCTTATAGGACAGTGATGAGGAAGAAGACGACATCGAAAACACAGAAGCTGCAAGTGTTGGAAAAGTTAGTAGGAGCCCCTCTCCTGCTCCTCAAGAGGAGCAAAGTGAACCAGAAATGACAGAAGAAGAAAAGGAGTATCAAATGGTATAAATAACATAGTTCTCTCAAAAGGGTGTTCATCTATACGTATTTTTCTGGCTTTAGGCATAAAAGAGTAGTTGTGCTTTTCTATGCCTGACATTTTAAATAAATATGTAACATAGATTGTATACTGTACTGGGATTATATATGGAGTCGTATGTGTCTCCAGTTTAACATATGGATAGCATTTCCACATAGGGGAAAATATACTTACATACGTGTGTGTACTATACCATATATGTGAAGTCAAGAGCTATCTAATAAGATGTAAAGAAACACAATATAATTATTTACCATGCATTTTTGCCCACCTCACTGGTCTTCATCCACTAATAATTCTATCATTCTTCCTTGGAATTTATTCTAACATTCCAAACCCTCCTCTCCCTCCGCCCCCGGATATCTACTTTTTGCTAAAAATACAGTTTCTTAAAGCCCAAGAATAGCAAGATTTAGGCTTGGGCTAGCAGCAACTTTTCTATCAAAGAATTAAAATTATTTGACATGCAATATTTTGTGGTGTTGCACGATGAGAAATGGGAGCTTGTTTCCCACTATGACCTAGTATTCATTGGAGGGTCTCTGTCTCCTATGTATAGAAAAGCTATTTCAGGTGACTCGTATAGGTTTTTGTGGTTCTTTCTGAACCCACTACAACTGAAGTCCTGGTATTTAAGGCCCCAAACCTGCGAAGTCGTATGCATGCACTTTATTTTAATGAAATTAAGTAATTGTACAATCTGTAATAGTGGGATTTCATACCCTGCTTCTGTATGTGAAATGCTTATGATTATAGGTCAGTGTGAGAGTACAGATTGTTTGGATTTTTTCAATTCGACTTGATTTCCAAACTACTTCAGAGTCCTAATTTTAACTGATCTTTTGTATAGAAAAAATAATTAAGTAAAAGGAACCAAATTATGCTTTTACACCCATGCAAAGCAGTGGGGTTGCATATGTGTAACAAAGTGTAGAATTTGGTCCAAATACTTTGCTTCCAGTGTTGTTTAAAATTATTTTCTTCAGATGATGTTGACAAAACTGCTGCTGACAGAGATTCTTTTAGATGTCACAAATGAAGAAATTTATTATGTAGCCAAAGACGTACATCGTAAAGCAACTAAAGGTATGCTTTTCTTTTTTAGTTTGTTCAGTGAATATTTTATATTTGCATGTTTTTAGAACATTTTACTCCATAGCAACTGTTCCCAAGAGCAGTCAATATATAATGCATCTGATTTGCTAGAGCTCAAATCCAGTAATCATATACTGTTGTCCTGTGCAGTGTATTGTGAGTTACTTCAGTTATTCCATTTCTTTCATATAATTCATTTCTTTAGTTATGATGGTATCTCTGTGTTAATGGCTTTTGCAGTGTAGATATCTATTTCTTAATGCTATCATTTTACCTCAAACTTTTAGTTGATCAGAAATGAAAAGAGACAAATATGAATCCTCAAGTAGCTCATTTTCTTTCACTGTTAACAAGCCACTCTATATATAATAGCAGGTGATTTTTTTTCTATACAATTATGAGTAAAATTAAATGCGTAAATACTGGTATTTGAAATATATATGCAGATGCTGTAACTTGGAAACGGATCTCTGAATATAGATTTGTGGTTTGCAAGTGACTATTAACTCACATTTATAATGTGAAACTTTTACATGGTGAGAAAATCTAGGACTGGTTTTAAATGGATGATACGTTTTTAATGTTTCTTCTCTCCCTCCAAAAAACAGCAATAGTAGTAGATTTAACAATACCATAGACTCTCATGACTATGAAATCGTGGCTATTTGTGTTAACATGTTGTTCCTGTTGTTGATGTGATACAAAGCTCCTGCAAAACAGCTGGCACAGTCCAGTGCACTGGCTTCCCTCACTGGGCTCGGTAAGTATGTTCCTTATTTTTGAGAGGGGCTTAATGGGGAGATCACTCTTACCTTGCATTTCCAGAAATTGTGTGTTGAAACTAGGTTGTAATTACCCTAATAATTAAGGGTCATTCTGCTACCTTTACTCATGTTGGGTAGAACCTTACTCTACAAGTTATCTCACAGATTTCAGAGGGATAATTTGTGGAGTAAAGAACTAATCATATGAGTAGAGTATCAGAATCTTGCCTAAGTTTGTAAACTAGGTAAACACATGAGAAGTACACTTACTTTTTTTTGGCTGGATAGTTTACTCGATAACTAATTTTAATAGGATGGTTTTTGAATTGTTCCAGGAGCAAACTACAATCTTTTTGAAGGAAGATGACTATTTTTATGCATTACTCCCGTTTTGGTCCAGCCTATGTTAACCGTGGGTAATAGTTGACAATATAACTGATAAAAATGCAAAGCTCTGGTTTGCAAAAAAAAAAGCCTATTCAAATGTTTAGAATAAATTTATACTTTCATTGAAAAACTACACACTTACTAAAGCTCCCATATCCACGATTATCAATTTGAAGATGTACAGGATGTGAAACGTAGAATTGCATTCTGAGATGTAATAGGAAAAGCTCTTTCCCAATGTTGTCATCTTACCATAGTCTAGTAGCAGTGCTACAATAAAATGTCAATGATCATATGCTGATTACACGATATTGTGAACTTTGTTGAACTCCTTTACATAAGGTGAAATGTTCTCTGTCCCAATTATTCAGATGTTTTTAAACTAATTGTAATAAAGATTAAGAAAAACTCAAATGGAAAGAAAGTAAAATGCCTCTGTGTCAGATGTTTAAGGTTACTTTGTATCAGTCCAGTATATACTCAGATCTTTCTTTTGGGGGCAAGGGAAGTCCATTTCTATTCCATCTCTGTACCTTTTGACGTACAGTATTTTCTAAACCACAGTAGAAAAGTTGATATGGCATTCAGGAATTCTAAGCCCTGGACAACTGAAGGCTGCCGAAGTCATTGCAGAGATGTCTTCAGGGACAGGGTCCCAGGCATTTCACTGCTTTGTCTGTGTGCTTGCTGATACATGGGAAGGCATTGTTACTGGCTCTATATGGAGCTTTTTTTGCCCTTCCATACAATGAGAAAAGTGCCATGATCACAGTGGTTGCTTGCTGAGAAATAGACAAGCTGTTCCAGAAGGAGTAAACCCAGATAATAAGCACCAGTACAGAAATGGGGGCCTTGAACACTCCAGTCAACCAGCATTGGCACTTCCCTCAGAATAAGTGGCTTCTTCAGAGAAGAGAAAGTGAAAGAAGGGCAATGTACTCTCCTCTTTGCCCCACAGAAATATTAAGAACAAGGCTTAATCTTTCCTCGTGATAGACTGGGCTTTATGCACGCAGGTGGACTGGGTGGTTATGGATCAGGAGACAGTGAAGATGAGAGGAGTGACAGAGGCTCTGAATCATCTGATACTGATGATGAGGAACTACGACACAGAATCAGGCAAAAACAGGAAGCATTTTGGAGAAAAGAGAGAGAACAGCAACTATTACTAGAAAAACAGCTAGAAGGTAAGTCATTTAAATGTGTTCCTGCTGTAAAAACATATACATACATACATTTTACAACTTAGTGGAATATATATATATATATATTTATATATTTATTTTCAGGCTAAAACATATGGAGCCTTATATAAAAATGATGTTCCTTAATTCTAAAGTTTTGCACAAAAATGTGTTTGAGATACTTTGCCAAAAACTGGTTTTGTGTCCCTTTTTTTTCTTTCCTGCTTGTAAAATCCATTATATATGTTCTTCATAGACTATTTATTTACTTTCTCAGTTTTAAAAGAGCAAATTACAACAGATAGAGCCCTGCAAATCCATGGATATCTGATTTATATCCGCAAATATCCACAAATCGTTTTTGCAGATCAGATGCAGATACAAATTTTGTGTATGTGCAGGGTTCTACAGATAGTTTTCAAAACTAAATTCCTTTAAAATATCAGTCCTGATTTAGGGTAAAATTCACCCCTATGGAGAGGGACCATGTGAAGCCTTTTCTCCACTGTTCTTTAAAGTGGGGCATAAGCCTTATGTTGTCCCTTCACATGCGAATGAATTTTACAAGGACTGCATTGCACAAGGATCTTTGAAATAATATACATTTACAAAGTATTCTCAGGTTGAGAACCATTCTCCAAACCTATTTGTCAGGCTACACAGTGGGTATATGTCAGCCTACTAGTGGATGAAGAAAAGAGTTTGTGCAGATGAAGAATTTTATATATACATTCTAAATACATGAAAAATATTATAACTCTTGTGATGTCACTCCCCATTTCAAAGGGGCAGTCTGGTTCTGTCTCTCACTAGATGGTGAAAACTTGGTGGCTGGATAAGCTATGATTTTTTGGGGGATTTCCCCCTTTTCCTGCCTTTTTTTTTTTAGAATTTTTCTCTTGTCACTTCATTAGGCCTAGATTTAGCATAGGATGCTTCTTTGTGGATAGTTAGACTTTTATGTTGCTTGCTTGCCTTAGGGTTTTTCCCCCTCTTCCCCCAAAGAAAATCATACTGCAACTTGGGTCTCTTAAGAGAAAGCTGAGCAGTCCTCAGCCAGAGGGATTATCTTCTTTCAAACTGCTGAAATTTTGGTTTGGAGTGATTTGTGACTGCTCAATCCTTGAAGAAAGTAAGACCCAGGATTTGCAATTTCTTAAAGCAGATGTAGAGATATATTCACTGCTTTTTGTAGCCTAAGGCACCTATTGGGTTCCACTCTATTCTAAATGTGAAGAAATTGAACTCTGTTTTCTGTGTGCCAATCTAATTTCGGAGACTCAATTGTTCATGATTCAGCAAGTCAAATAGAAGGAATTCTGCAAGAGGCCTGCATTCACATACTCATTCACTCAAACAGTAAGAAGTTCCTTTGGGTTTTTGGGTTCTCAAAACCAGCCAAAAGTTCCTGTCCCATTGCAGGAAACACTTCCAGGTTAGATACTCTGCTAAAATGTTCCTTTCAGGACCTCAGATTATGCAACTAGGTATGTTTATATGTGTGTCTTCATAACTTGGTGTCGGTTCCAGTTTTCACATTCAGTCACTCCAACTATAGCTTCTGAGAACATAGCCTTGATCAGAGCTCTCTCTGGCCTACCTCTCCTAACACTTTGGATATTAAGTCCCCCCTCATGCATGATGGTTACAGCACAAGAAAATGTGCTGGGGTTACTTCTGTGTTTCCTGCCTGGAGAGCAATCGTGATTGGTACATGCATGGGTGAGAGGCTCACTGAAGTCTCAGAGTGGGGTAAGTCCACTGGATGTAGGCAGAGAATAATGTTTACCAATCATTTTGCTTAAAAAAAGGGGCTGTTGGCAATTCATTACTTCAGTCAGGATCTGATGGGGGCAAGGCAGTTAAAGTTCAAACAGTGTATCACTGGCATATTTATTTCCTGTTGTGTTGAAGTTGGACATTTTCTCCTCTTTGTTTAAGGGCCTGGAAGCTGACCTGGATCAGCCGTTCCTTCATAAAGGGGTGTGATATCTCAACATTTAGATTCCATTCCTCTCTTTAGGTGTATTAAATGCATATATCAAGGGAGAGGAATGTGGAAGTGCTCTGTATTGTGGTTACATGAGGGAGAAGAGGTCTCCCTGAGGAAAAATATTGAAACTATGGAATTTTGAAAGATTATTTTAAATTTGTTGTCTAGGTGGTCCTTTATAATATTAATTTCCTGGCCTGCTCGATTACTTCTAGTTAAACACGAGCAAACACAGAACCTTTGTCATTGCTGAATATTCAAGAAGGTGGGTTTTTTTGTGAAGCTTGAAGTGAAAATGATCCAAAAACTCTTCCAGATCACTTCATTCTCCTGGGTTTTTTCCCACCCCTGTAAAAGGTGGTCTCTTCATAAGGCAGTTCTTGCAATAAGTAAGTGTGTGTTCGTGTATCTCAAACCAAGTTTTGTGTGGCTTTTAAATTCTTTCTGTTTAGAAACCATGTTGCCTCTTTCAATTTTCAGTTTCTCTTCCCCTGCTTTTATTTGTATTTATATTAGGATATTTACATGAAAACAATACTATTTTTGTTTAGTTTTCTGCTCATCATGTAATATTCCCCACTTAAAGGCAATATTAAAGCTATGGGCCCAAGCCCATTAGCTAGAAAACACTTCACTTCTGAGGTATTCACTTTGCCATTTAAACTGTCACAGCAAGCAAACAATGGAGTTGTGCATAGCTATTTAGCCAGACTAAATTATCACCAGATAGAGCAGTAAATGGATGTTTCCTATCATAAATAGACAAAAAAAGCTTTATTGCAACAGAAGTGCTTTACCCTGGTTGAGTACATTTTTGGATCACAACTGTAATCGTTATCTGTGTTCAGTGAGGTACAGCTGACTCAGTTTTATGTAGAATTTTGGAGGGCAACCTTTAACCTCTTCAACATGCAGCTGAAACAAACATATCTTGTTACTCCATATCTCTGTGTGCTGTATATCAGAGTTGATTATAATTGAATTGTAAAAGGTGAGCACTTACAGATTTTTCTGGATAGCTGAGATTTTTGGCAATGTATGCATTTAATGTAACGGTGTCTTGTTCTGCTATTTTAAAAAAAAATTATATTGAAGGGGAAAAAGTATTCTAAAATTAATTTTTACCCCTCAAATGGTGGTATCTTATCCTTTAATATGTTTAAAATGGGTGTAATGCACTGAAAAACCTTATAAAATTCATAAGTATTTATTTTTCTTGCTTAAGGGCTATTTTAAAATAAAATATATCGAAGATCTGGATGATTTGGGGAACTTGGAAATGGGATATATAACCTTCTTTTACTTTCATGTCACCAGTTTGACTTTGGTCCATACTGGTAGTGATCTGTCAGCAGTCTGGTATGCTGAAGGCTTGTCTATACATGGAGCAACAAAGAGTCCTGTGGCACCTTAAAGACTAACAAATGTATTGGAGCATAAGCTTTCGTGGGTGAATGCCCACTTTGTCAGATGCATGGGAATGTCATGCATCTGATGAAGTGGGCATTCACCCACGAAAGCTTATGCTCCAATACATCTGTTAGTCTTTAAGGTGCCACAGGATTCTTAGTCTGGATCTGTAAAAAACAACAAACACGGCTACCCTTCTGATTCTATACATGGAGTTGTTCCTGATTAACTCCATGTGTGAACACTCTTATTCCAGAAAATATCAATACATGGAGTTACTTAGGATCAACTCCATGTATAGACAAGCCTTTACCATGCCCCTTCTCCCTCCACAACATTGCTAATTAGTCTCAACAAAGAACCGATTTGAATGATTGAATGAGTGAGTATGGAGTCTCCACTATCCTTTTCTAGAGATGTGGTCCGTCAGGGTGGAATGGAGAAGTTAACACATCTTGCAGTACATACCGCTTTGAGGTGATTTTGTCGTCATGGAAACAGAATGGTTTCTCTTACCCATATGCATCAAGTCCAGATACATTTAAAATACGAACATAAAGTATGAATTAATCACTTGCCAAAATTCTTGAGTTATGTAAACAAAAATAGCATCCAAAACTGTTAAAAATATCTCCTGTTTCGCCCTAAAAAAATAAATAAATAAAAAAATCAGAAAGCAGGTTTTAGAAATCACTTCTAAATTATAGTGTCATAAAATTAGGTCATCCCATGCAGCTCCCTGTCATGACAGGCTTGTGAATTAAATCCTGTATGTTAAACAGTATTAAGCATGGGGGGGTTAAAAGACGATGCAAAAGTCATCCGGGAACTTTAAGATGGTGGTGTAGTGAGGAGTGGCAAGTGAATTGTTTTCTAAAAATGACTAAGGTGGTCTGGGAACTTGTTCCTTAGCCAAGAAAGACAGCACATTTGTTCTCTTGCCATGTATCTGTACCATGTTATTTGGCATTATTTCTGTTTTTTCTTTCATATGCTTTTCCAGAAGAAAAACTACAACATGAAAAAATTGCAAAAGAGATGAATGAATTCATTAATAAAGAGCAAAATAGCAATTCAGCACCACAGGAAGCGAAGGAAACAGAGGATGATGTGTTTAATGAAAAGAAAAGATCTCCAGGTGAAACTGCACCAGATATAGAACCCAAAAAAGAGGTTAAAGAAAAAGAGAGAACAGGAAGGAGTAGGTCAAGAAGTTCTAGTAGTGGTACCACTAGCAGCAACAGTAGAAGCAGTAGTAGCAGCAGTACTGTATCTAGTACATCATATAGTACGAGCTCAGGTAGTAGCCGCAGTTCTTCACGGTCTTCCTCTCCTAAAAGGAAGAAGAGACGTAGTCACAGTAGATCTCCATCACATAAAATTAGGCGCAGTAGAAGTAGGAGTTATTCTCATAGAAATAGGAGAGAGAGGAGTAGAAGTAGGGAAAAGATAAGAGAAAGGAGACGGTCTAGTAGAAATAGCATGGAGAAGGGGGAGAGACGAAAAAATCGTAGTCCTTCCCGGGAAAGAAGTTGGGAGAAGCGTAGAAGCAGTAGTCACTCAAGGGATAGGCGAGCTAGTCGTGCTAGTCGCAGCAGGAGTCGAGATAGGCGTAAAAGTGATGACCAGCATAGAAGTCTTAGTGGAAATAGGCACAAGCACAAGGGTGAAGGGAAAGATCAAGAGAGGAAAAAGGAACGAAGTAGGAGCATAGATAAAGATAGGAAAAAGAACAGAGAACGGGAGAGAGACCAGGAGAAAAGAAAAGAGAAGCAAAGAAAAGAAGAAAAAGACAGTAAGTGTGGCAATCATGATGACAGTAGGTTAAAGAGAAAAAGAGATAGTGAAAGAGCTCTCTCTCGCAGCAATTCAATGTCTGCTAAAATTTTAAGACAGGATTCTAGACAGGAAAGCAAAAAAAGTTCTACCAAAGATAGTAAAAGACATTCAGGCTCTGAATCTAGTGTCAGGAGCAGTTCTGAATCACCAGGAAGCAGCAAAGAAAAGAAGGCTAAGAAATCAAAGCATAGTCGGTCACGATCCATGGAGAAATCTCAAAGGTCTGGTAAGAAGGCAAGCCGCAAACACAAGTCTAAGTCACGATCAAGGTAGTATACTTTTTAAGTATTTTGTCTGATTATTTTTTTTTTTTACTATTCGTCTTCCTGTGTACAACATATGAAAGTATTTTTTTAAATAAAATTCGGTATTTGTTATAATTGTCTTGGGCAAAAGTAATTTTGGGAAGTCTTTTAAAATTACTAATTGTTAAGCCTAAAGTATGTGTGGTTTTGGGGCGGAGTGTCTTTCCCCATTAACTTTTTCCCCTTTCTCTTTATTTTTCAGGTCAACAACCCCTCCTCGTCGTAAACGCTGAGGAACGATGTGGCACCAGTGATATGACATTAAAAAATTCCATGAGTTTTAAGGGCTTGTCTCATTATAGAGGCACATTGTGGCTGTGTAGGTGAAACCAGAATCCTTTTTTAAACTGTAAATAGGTGTATTTTTTTCCAAATGCTGCTCAGTTAAATAATAGGATTTCTTTGTATTGCAATTTTTTCAGAAACAGTAGTGCTTAATAAGAATATAAAACATGCCATTCTCTTTCAGCTGTAATGTTCTTAAAATTACTATTGAATGTACTGTGATGTCAATAAAGCTCTTTAGTTCATTTTTGTTTAAAATTCTTGCACCTTAATTTTACGTATTAAAATATAGATAGTACTTTTTTTTAAAAGGCAGCTGTACTTTGAAAAAAGTTTTTAACATCTATCGTTTTTCAAAGTATGTGAGTTTTTTTGTTTTTGTTTTGGTCCAGGGATTTGTTAAGATTATTCAATTAGGTGGGGGTTGGGGAGAAAAAGGAATAGACTTCTAATTATTTTTTTCTTTAGATGAAAATGTCTTAACCTTTTTACAGTTCTCCTTTTTTGGACTATCAAGTAACATATGCTGTGTGTGTAAAATATGGATCATTCTGTAATATGAAATATGCTAAACCCAACCGAGCACCATTAGGAATATGTGCAAGTAACTTATCATGTGCACCATGAATGTTCAGCTTTGGAACTATATTCCTCAATCAACCACTTCTATTTTGTGTTCAAATGCTACTTAATACTGGTTGGCATATAGAATAATGGATAATACGCTGCTCTCAATAGACTATCAATTCTCTTAAGAAGTGAGAATTTTGTGAAGAGTTGGTTATCTTGACAGTTTAGACATTTGGGAATGCGTAGATTTTTATTTTGGAAAAAATAAATAAAGCAGCTACAATTAAGTTTAAGATACACTACTGTGGAATACAGCTTCCGTGATGCACTGCATTTGGTTTTCAGTCCAGATCTTATATTATCTGTTCAGTTTAAAAAAAAAAAAAGTATGAAAGGTTTATACAGGTCTGTCGCATCTTACGCACATTTAACATGCGCAATTTCAGCTTTGCGCGGTCGGGGGGTGGTGGGGGGGAAGTGCAGGCGATTCCACCAGCATGAGACGCGAATCTGCTGTTCCCACTAAAATATATTTTTGGGGGGACTTGACAGCAACAGCATGTCTTTAGGCCTGTGATAAGGTTCTCCCCTATAATAACCCTGGAGGGTTGGCAAAAAAAAAAAAAAAAGTTGTTTGTCTGCCCCGGAGTGAGTGTGAGATGGGAGAAGCGAATCTGCTGTTCCCACTACAATACTCAGTCCCCCTGTGCCTCTCACTGTGCGCATCTCGCCGTGCTGAGTGAGATTCTACTGTGCCTATACTGTTTAAAGAGACAGTACATATTTTTAGTACTGTATAACATGGCCCCTAAATGCAAGGCACCTACTTCATCTGGTGCTCAACCGAAGAAACAGCAATGTGTTCCAACGCTGGAGGAAAAACTGGCTGTGTTGGACTTATTCAGAGACGGTATGTCCATCGCCAACGTGGCGCGTAAATACGGCCGCAACGAATCTAGCATCCATGCCATCAAGATTCGAGAGACAGAAATTCATCAAGCCGTGGCATCAAGTGCTCCAGTAACTGCTACGGTGACGAGCCAAGTGCGTGATAAGACTTTAGTGAAGACTGAAAAGGCATTAAACTTATGGCTGGAAGACCTGAACCGTAAACGTGTGCCTATCAATGGCAACATGTTGCGAGAAAAGGCTCTTAGCATCTATGTGCTGTTCAAACCTCCCGCCGAAGAGGGACAGCCTTCTGATAAGAAGGAATTCAAAGCCAGCCAAGGTTGTCTTAACAATTTTAGGAACCACTTCAACCTCAAAAGTGTGCAGACTACTGGTGAAGCTGCATCTGCCAATGAGGAGGCAGCAAAAGCCTACCCCGAACAATTAAAGAAAATCATAGAGGAAAGGGGCTATCTTCCAGAACAACTTTTTAATGCTGACGAGACTGGGCTCTTCTGGGGAAAAAAAAAAAAAAAAAAGCCCACCCCCACTTACATTTCGAAATCAGAAAGACACGCCCCTGGCTTCAAAGCAGCTAAAGACCGTGTGACTGTGTTGCTTTGTGGAAATGCGGCTGGGCATTTAATAAAGCTGGGCTTGCTCTACAGGGCTGCAAATCCCCGTGCCCTAAAAGGCAAGAACAGAAGTCTCCTGCCTGTGTTCTGGCAATCAAATAAGGCTTGGGTGATGGCAGCATTATTTCTGGATTGATTCCACAAGTGTTTCATTCTGGAGGTCAAGCAGTACCTTGAAGAGAAAGGACTTGACTTTAAAGTGTTGCTGATTGTAGACAATGCTCCTGGCCATCCTGCGGCACTCCGGTTTGCGCATAACGACGTTGAAGTCGTCTTTCTCCCCCCCAATACCACCTCCATCCTCCAACCTCTCGACCAAGGCATCATTAGCTGTTTCAAGGCCATGTACACGAGGCTTACATTCTCACGGATCCTTACCACTATGGATGCTGATCCCAATGTTAATGTGATGGAGTGTTGGAAGGCCTTCAACATTGCTGATTGCATCACTTATATTAAACAGGCAATGGATGCAATCAAGCCTGAAACAGTCAATGCATGTTGGCAAAACCTGTGGGAAGACTGTGAATGATTTTAAGGGTTTCCCGACCATTGACAAAGAAGTGCAACTCATTGTTCAGGTGGCCAGGCAAGTGGGTAGTGATGGCTTCGTTGACATCCTCGAGGAAGAAATTGAGGAATTAATTGAGGGCCATAGAGAAACATTGACTAACGAAGAGTTAGAGGAACTGATAAAATCGTCTACAGAAGACGAAGATGACGACGAACAGGAAGAGCCAGCAACTTGGAATCTTCATAAATTTTCTGAAGTGTTCCAAGCAGCAAAACACTTGAATGATTTAATTTCTGAATATGATCCTTCTATGGAACGAAGCCTCAAAATCACACGTAGTATTACGGATGATTTGAGACCATACCAAGAAATATTTGAGGAGGTCAAGAGACAACAGCGACAGTTGCCAATCACCATGTTTTTAAAGAAAAAACAACCAGCAGCAGCAGAGCCTACACAATCAACTTCTCGAGCTGAACCAGAGCTAACCACTTCGTCTACGACTCGCTCTCCGTCACCCAAGCCTGGCCCATCGTCTCCTGGATCGACATCAAGCCCTGATGACTCAATAATAGTGTTGTCAGCGGAAGAGGAAGACTAATCATTGGAGTGTGTACAGTACAAGACTAGCAAGAATATCCAGGATGACTGGTGACTGTTCAGGTTTACAGTACTGCACTGTACTGTTTTCATTTTTTATTTTCATTCTTCTGTCTGTTATTAAAATACTTTAAAATTATATTTTGCATATGTAGTCTTTATTATATACTGTACTGTACATTGCTGTATACAATACATAGTACTGTACAGGGTTGTATACACAAAATTGTACTTTATGGGTGATTTAAGGGATTTTTGAGGATCATTTTGACTACGCAGTTTTCGCTTTACGTGCTGACCGCGGAACGTAACCCCAGCGTAACATGAGACAGATCTGTATACCAACAATTGGAATTTTGTCACATCCTGTACTTATGGAAATTACATTTGACACAACTGCACTGATATTGGTCGTGACTTGCCAATAAAGAGAGCATACTACAGTACTGCTGTATTTAAAAATTCCATAGATCTAGCTAAATAGCATATACTGAACATCTATTACTAGCAGTACATTGGCATTAATTTTGTTACATTGTTGACATTCACGTACATTAAACTTATGAGCATGTTTGGGAAGGGTAAATAAGAATGTCAAGTATAATTTCATAGATGGAGGAGACATGATCTTAAACAATTCTGTGGGTAAGTATATAATGGGGGGTTTGTATAAATAAAGAGAACTCTAAATTTGGATGCTCTATTAATTTAGATGTGTGCAGGCTTCTGCCTGTTCTAAACAGACACAGATTAAAATAATTGTAAAAGATTTGTGCAGTAGGGAAAAGGAAACACCATTTTTAAGTGTATGGAGTAAATGTTATGGGGTTTCTTTAAAACCCAAGTTCACAAATGAAGGCTGGGGTGGAATGAAAATAGTATCCTCCCTGTTAGGGCTTCCCCTCATCGTCCCTTGGTTATTGTCACGCAGACAAAAAGAAGACCAGAGTCTGAAGTGCAAGCAATGCAGTGTTTATTGGGGTTAATCAAGCAAGCATATCCATAGCTTTGTACACCAGTAGATATTTTTCCTCTCCTCTCCCCCCCCCCAGCTCTTTCTTAGCAGGCTCGATTATACCTGTAGTGCATGCCCCAGCACCACCCCTTACAATTTATGGTAATTTTCCGTTTTTGGAGGGTCGAGAGTCTGGGGCTTTGATACCACCTCTTTTGTATCCCATGGGATGGGTAGGGAGTGAGGTTGTGTTTTGGCCAGGGTCACCATTTCTTTGGCTTTTTAGTGTTTCTTACGCCTCCTTTCCCTCCCCCCCAACCTTCCCTTGTCCCTCCCAACTGGTTGCTTGACCTTGCCTTGAGGTAGAAGTCAAAACAGTCATATATTAAACTCCCACTAAAACCAGCAACACTTTAACTCTCTTCCTTATCTTTTTTTCTTCGTGCTATAAACCCCTTCTGGTTGTGGGCAGATGCAACAGAGAGTGTCTTTGTTCACAGGTTAGTAAGAATATTATAAGTCAAACGGGCAAAGAAAACCCAAAATTCTATCTCAGGCAAATATACAGGCCTGAACGCATCACTAACACTCTCAGGCTGTGTCTATGTGAAGATAAGTGAAATAGCACAGTTGGTAAACTTCTGAAGGGTGGGAGACAGTTGGGGACTTGAACTGTTATCTGAAAACTCAAACTGGATGCAGATGGATGAATCAGTCAGATGTAGTCAAACAAAGGACATTGCTAATGTTACAGATTTTTATGTACTGAGGTTTTGCAAATTTTCTGGTATATGGTTTAGTAACTTCCTGTTCTGGGAGATTATACTGCACCTCTACCCCGATACAACGCTGTCCTTGGGAGCCAAAAAATCTTACCGTGTTATAGGTGAAACCGCGTTATATCGAACTTGCTTTGATCCACCGGGGTGCGCAGCCCTGCCCCCCCGGAGCACTGCTTTACCGCATTTTATCCGAATTCATGTTATATCGGGTCGTGTTATATCGGGGTAGAGGTGTACATTATAACCTTCTCTGGCTCTGAGGGACCTTTTCAAGGCTGCCACTTACTAGCTGTGTCTTATTT